CCCCCAAAACCCCAAAACCCCAAAACCCCATTATTAGTAAATCAGGTTGATATTATAATTCATCTTCACTGGAAGTATAATCTTCTGAGTCAATTTTCACAACCTTTAGTCTTGACTTATGGAAAGCCAGGACTTTCCTGGTCATTAACCTAATATCTTCTCGTGAGAGGCAGCAATAACACATCATGTAAATCATGCTCTCTATTTTAAAATGAAGTTCAACTGAGGCAGTTGTGCTTTCTGAGTTTATAGTCGAATCAGTCAGTTTTGAGAACACTCTCTAAAGTTTAGGTGAATTCTTACAGAAGTAAGAAGGGAGTCATATGCTCTGAGCTTATTTGACCCTTCCTCGACCAGCATTGGTATTTTAAGCCGAGTTGCTAGTCTTGCAATTCCCTCTAAGAATTCTACATAGGTCATGTTAATGTGCTTATCTTGGTCAATCTCGTTGACTCTAAGCATCATGGAGAGATTAAAAAGTGCACCGATTTCTCTTTGGCCAAAGTCATCGTTGACAACTTTGGTATCACAGACTAGTTCAAAGAACTCATCTATTGACATGTAATGAGGGTCCCCAGGAAGGGCATACTTGCCACTGTATTTATTATAAAGCTTTGCAATCACGGAGTGATATCTTTTGTAGGTTTTGTCACAATCTTCAGTCCAAAGTTTGGTTAACCTCCATGTTCTACTATCAAAGGAATTTAAATATGTCAAGAAATGTTCTTGAAATCAAGTCTTTATCGCTTCTTCCATAGTTTTTAGCAATCCAGATTTGAAATATTTGATAATGGATATTCTCACAAGGACTTCCATGAACTGGAATCTTACCAATTGTCTCTCAGGGATGAATTCATGCTTTGTCTTACCTCCAGCTTTAGTGGAGATAAACTCCAAGTCTATATCACTGAGCTTCAGAGATTTATAGTCAACAAGTTCATTTTCGAAGTTATTGACAATGTCTCCTAAGACGTTGGTCCCTATCGAGGGGATTAGCCCTGAGGGGGCGACTGCAGAGTAATGCCTGTAGCATTCAACTCTAGAGATTATTAAAACTGACTTACAATGCTCTATAGTTCTGCTTCAAGAATTTCTTAATCAATGCTCTTTCTGTATTATTTCTGATCGTATTCTTAACTTTGCAACAATCCCAATCAAATTCGAAGCATCTGCTGATTAAAGAATCTGTTGAGTCTTGGTAAGTACGAAATACCGATTTATTGACATTCCAAGGTGACTTAGGTCTGGGTCTCTTGGCTCTTCTCTTAGGCCTTGGAATCGCCTTGAGATTTGTCAGATAAGTCTCTGTGATCATCTGATCCTTTTTAATTATATTTTTGATTATATTGGTCTTTGGAACATGAAGATCCTCGTAATCTTGTGCATCTCTCACTTCCATTTCATTGGAAACCATTTTTACATCGTTAACGGTGAAATAAAATTTGATTTCTCCTGGAGGCACCATCCTTCAGAGAGAATAGAGTGTGTTGTCATTAGGATCTTTACGAAGTTTGTCTGGCTCATAGTTATCTCAAGAGAGGTGAATTTTTATCCTGTTTCGCTTATTTTTATCACTTTGGTCTGGATTTAGTCTCCATTCAAATCTAACTTCTGTCCATCCTTCTCAGATCCATCAGTTCGAGTAAGCATGAAGAGAGTACTTCCTGTCCTTCTTTGCCATGCCGGTTCGAAGATCCGGAGAGATTCTGGAGAAAACCTGAGATAATGCTCAGTCTGGTGTCTCATGAGAATGTACAAATCCTAAACAATTTATTGGTAGATCTTACCCTTAGCATCAATGCTTGCTTTATTCCCTAAAATATGGATTCCAAGGATCGTATGGTTCTTCTTAAGTCCTTCACTGATGATAGAGATATCTTCTTGGTCGAAGTTGCAATGGGAGAGATCTAAATGGAGCAACCCTTTGTTCTCTGATCAGGTCTGAGAAAATTGTTTCGAAGCAATATGCTCAGCATCTGACCCTATTGTGTTAAATGACATATCCAGCACTTGTAGGACCTGGTTGCTCTCCAAAGCTTTGAAAATAGCACTGGCTCCTTTTGGCTGAATCTTGTTCCAGTGGAGGAACAAGACTCTTAAGGAGTTGTTCATGATGAGGATATTTGCAAGGATCTTAGCTCCTTTGTTAGTGATGTTATTTTTAGATAAATTTAGAAACTTTAGATAGTCATTGTATCCTAATCCATCCTTCATATGGCACAGATATGGATCAATAATGGTATTTCCCTCCAGTATTAAGGAATTGAGATCCTTCTGGGGATCTTCAAGCATTAAGCCTATCTTCTGATACCCCGATGCAGTTATCTTATCGTTATTACTGAGATCAATTGTTTCCACCTGATCTGAAACAGATTCTATGATGGCTTTTAAAGATTCATCATCAAGGTTGTTTCTGCTGATGTTGATATTTTTCAAACTAGGATTATCCCTGATTCCTTTAGAGAAAGCATTTGCATATCTCTTTCCCATATAGAAAGACTTGAGGTTAATATCCTCATCAGTAACACCTGAGTAATTGACCATTCCTAAGTTCCTTGGATAAGCTCTGGTTGTATCTATCTCACTGAGGAACTCAATGAGTGGGGATTTACGCTCGCCATCAACTTTTTGCTTCTCTTTGATCCGTTTGATATTCTTTGCTATAAAGCTTAGCACATAAGTGCTTACATTTTCGGTAATAATCTTGGATGATATGCTTTCCAGCGAACACCTTGTTGCTCCGTGAGCTCCAAGGCTGTCCTTTTGAGAGCTTATTTGCTCTCATCACTGGTGAAAAGGTCGATTGATGAGTTGGACTCCACCTCTTCAGTGATCTGGTACCAATCCTTTTGAATGAGGTCATCTTTCTGTTGGTTCATATTGATGTCAAGGTCAAAAGTGTGTCTAATTTTTATGTTCTTAAGAGGAATAATTGGCTTCAGGGAAGAAACGTAATCAAGTCTCTTCTTTAGGTTTTGCACTATTTCATCATTGGTACTGCCCATTGATTGGTCGTATACTTTCTTGTTCTTCTACAGAATTAAGGATTCCTCACCTTAGCTTTATAGAGAGATTCTCCGATGCTCTTGTCATGGTCAAAACTCTTGGTAGAAATACTGATGAGATGATTATGAGGAAAATTAGGCAACTTCGATTCAGATTTTGATTCTAGAATTAAGATTAAAGCATACCCTTCATTCTTCTTTTATGCGGCTTTGAAGATCGCCTTTTAGAATTCCTCTTGTACACTGAAAGGGACTTGTTAATCAGGTTCTTTTGTGAAGATAAAATTTTGTCCTCAATTGTGATTTTCTTTCTTTGTGATATTTTGGATCGGTAACGAGATAACTTCTTAACTGACCTATTCCCGTTACTTCTTTTGCCAAGCTGATGCAACCTTGGCCTGAATAAATCAATACTGGGTAGGTTTAACACAGATGAAGGTTTAGAGTAGCGCACTGTGGAATTGTCACGGTCGAAAGTTGAATTGGGTTTAGTGCTCATCCTCCCTGTCTGAATAATATTGTGCCTGTATTCCATTGATGGAGAGTTTAGCATCTTTTGCCGACTTTTTAAGTTTGACATTAACAGCTTTTTAAACATGAACCTTTTTGTTTGCTATATTTAGGAACAATGATAAATCATAAGAGGCTAGCTTGGATTGCGAATAAGAGGAATTAAAGAAATGGCATAATACACTTGGATGGATGATTACCTAAGCCCTTCTTTCTTTTGAATTTGTCCAAATATTTTGAAGGTGGGTCAAACGGAAGCTTCTCCATTGCAAATTAAAATAAATATCAATCCGAGTATGATCTATAGGGGTTTTGGGGTTTTGGGGTTTTGGGG